AGAGCACCAGAGATGGTGACCCCATCACCCTCTTCAAGCGCGGATCCGAACCTTATGGAAAGGTTCTTCAGCTTCATGTCACACTTCGACCAGCAGCAGCAGACAAGGACACCTGTGCATTCAACACAGCGCAACGGAGGAAACATGGGATTAGCGCCGATGAGCCTCGACAACTCATCGTTCGGGCGACACAACCAAGCGCCTACCTTTGCACCTTATCACTCTTCACCGGGGACGTTCGAGTTCATGCCGCCCCGTGCCCAACCAACAGCAGCTGCATCATAACAGACACCAAGCGAGATATTGAGTCTCCAAGCGCAGTTTTCACATTTCCAAGCAATGGCACTGCAAAAGAGCAAGAAATTTTACGTATCAGTCGCTGCTGGCGTACACAGTTCTCCTGCGGGACCTGTCACCACAAGAACAGCAAAGCATCAGAACGTATCGAAGCTATGGAAACTCCGCGGAACTCACATGGCATCACCTCAAGTGTCTCTATCAAGCAAACCACAGCGTGACACAAAGCAGACTCATGCAGCAGCTGACAACAATACAGATGAAGACCGGGGAAAAGGCGGTGCAGTATATGAGTCGCTGCCAGACACTCCGCGACCGCCTGCTTCGGTGCGGGGGTACAATCACTGAAGAAAGCTTCGTGACACTTGTCCTCGCTGGGCTCGGGCCAGAATGGAGAACCACCCGCTCGCTTCTTCGCGCCCACGGACGAATCTCGGAAATGCACCTCTGCGCCGAGCTTCATGCTGAACAACAGGAGATGGACCTGTTTGAAGAAAGACAACCAAGGAAACAGCAACTGTTAGTCTTCTACACTCAACGAAGAAACGACAACAACTACAACCGACGCGGCAAGCAAGACCAACGCGACAACAGAGGACTCACCATTGTGCCGCCATTCTGCCACAACTGTCAAACATTCGGACACTCCAAAGTCAACTGCACTCGCCCCCGAGCTTATCGTCCAGTAGACCCACAAGTCGCTTCCACTCAAGAAAGCCCGCCGAGGCGTTCCTCCACATTTGCACAAAGCACACCGAACATCATCAATTGCATGGTACACATCGACAACTGCGAAGAAGACGTACGCTCCAGACGAAGAAGAACTGCCGCCGCCACGCTCACAAGGTCTTCAGGTCAACCCGACATACGCTGCAGTCGCCAACGCTGAACCCACCGGGCGAAACACCTGGTTCTTGGATAGTTGCTGCGGCCAACACATGTGTTCTTCAGGGCGCTTCGTGCAGCGAGAGCGACGCCTCAACTGCGATGTCATCATCACCGTTGCCAACAACAAGAATCTGAAAACAAACAGACAAGGCGTCGTTCAGCTTCAGTAAATGGAGTCAAACGTCATACTGCAATTCAACAAGGTTCTAATCGTCGACAACTTGGGATACAACTTACTCAGCGTCAGCCAGTTAATGACAAAAGGGATTCACCTGGAATGCGACTCGGACTCCAACGAATTTCGCCTTTACCACAGGAAGGGCGGCCTCTTCATCGGTCGCCCTCTCCTGAAGTCGGGCGTCTTTGTGTTGGATTTCGTCCCCGACCGCGGTACTGCCGACAGCGATGGGATCGTGTCGTTCGCCACATGGACGCACCCGCCGGATCTTGACACTGACTTTACCCCAGATGGTTTCTGGTACTCCAACACAATACCTGCAGCAGAAAGGACCCGAGCGTTAGCAGTCATACGACAAGAAAGACACATACCAGCAAGTGTCTCACCCGCAACATCACCTCCAGTACCAGCAGCAGGATCTAGTCGTGTGCCATCACCAGCAGTTCGAGGGCCACCAACCGAAGCAGACCAACTCATTCCAAATGCTAGAGGAGTTTGCCGTAGTCCCGCAACAGTCGTCGCGTTCTTCTCTAACACCAGCTTGTATCAGCGCTCCCCCGGCCATCGCGCTCCCGACGACATCGGCACCAACGCCTCGGTCACCCTGCAAACAGTACAGTTCTACAAACAATCCAAGCTGGAGTATTAGAAAAGGACGCTCTCCTCACAACGAGCGGACAAGAGCTTCGACGACCTCGCGCCAGATGCTTCACGTATCCTGAAGCCTATCTTCCAGACCAACCCTTTCCGTCGCATCACAATCCAAGTGCACCTGCATACGCACCGATGGAAAAGGTTTACAGCGACATCTTAAATATGCCACGAGACGACATTGAAGCAGACTTCAACTATGTCATCACGTTCATCGACGCAGCAACAAGATACGTATGGCACTACAACCTCAAAACACGCGATCAAGCATTCGAAGCCTTCACGACGTGGCTCCCCATCGCTGAACGAGAATCAAGAACTCAACTCAAGAGCTTCCATTCAGACGGCGCACTGGAATACCAGTCACAACGATTCAGGAACTACTTGGCGGAAAGAGGAATCAGACACCTGGTGTCTCTGCCCTACGCTCACCAGCAGCAGGGGGTCGCAGAAAGAATGAACCGGACCTTGCAGACGACGATGCGGAAGCTGCTCCTGGGGATGAGACTGCCCAACTTGCTTTGGCCTGACGCGATGACCCATGCAGTTCACCTGCACAATTTGTTGTCCTCGTCATCACTTCCCAACAACGCATCATCGCACCTGCTGTGGACGGGAAAACACGGTAGCACAAAATTACTTCGAGTCTTCGGCTGCATGGTACATTACAGACCCCACACGGGCAGGACGATTCTCTTAACGAGCACGATGGGGACTACACCTCGGCATCGCAAAACATTTCCAAGCATGGAAACTTCTCGACATACAAGACAAAAACACCGTGGCCTCACGTGATGTGATTTTCTACGAACGACTGATGGTGCACCATTACCTGGACAACATTGCAAACACAGAAGACTCCGCGAACGGCTTCGAGGGCCTTCAGTCCTTCGCCGACCGTGCTGCCGGGGCTGACGCAGCAGAAGAAGACGTACGTGGGGCTTCGGAAGCTGCTGGACCACTCCCTTTCTGCTCCGTGCCTGTTCCACTCGACAACGACAATCCTCTCGATAGTAAGAATCTCGACACCTATTACCACTTCGCTGACCAAGGTTACGTTACACCTCAACCAGTCGACACGAATGTCTCAGAACGCATCGGACCAAATTTCTCACCTGATCCAGAAGATGGTGATGAAGCGGCCTATTCCGGGAATGAAAATTCCCCTCGACACACACCCACGGGCCTGCAGATACTTCGATTATGGGTCTTCGTCCAGCACCCGCCACCGCCGTCTCCGCGCGAGCCAACAACTCTGTCTCACGCTCTGGGGGGGGGACATAAGGCGAAATGGAAGGAGGCAATAGAAAAGGAACTGAAAGCTCTGCAAGACAAAAATACATGGAAGCTGGTACCTGCAACAAACATCAACGGGAAGAACGTACTCTCGGGAAAGTGGGTGTACCGCATCAAGACCAATGCGGACGGCTCCATCGAACGATTCAAGGCTCGCTGGGTCGTACGAGGATTCGATCAACGATACGGAACCGACTACATAGAAACATTCGCCCCAGTCTCCCGTCACACCTCGCGCATTCTACTCGCCGTCGCGGCGACGAACAAACTACCACTGCGCCAGATCGACGTCGCAAACGCCTTCCTGTACACACCTGTGGATGCCGAGATTTTCGTCGAGGAGCCCCACGGATTCATCGACGACCCCACAAAAGTATGCCAGCTGATAAAATCCCTCTACGGGATCAAGCAAGCTCCGCGGCTTTGGCAGCAGCATCTTCATGGCTGCCTCGTCAGAATCGGGTTCCTACAGCTGCCGCACGACCAAGGCATGTACCGACTACAGAAGGAAGGGGGTTTTATCCTACCCATCGTCTACGTCGACGACCTGCTCTACATCGGCTCCACTACCGACATCGCCACCTGGTTCGAAGGGGAGCTGAGAAGTGACTTGACACTCACGGTGTCTGACACCGTGACCCAGTACCTGGGTCTGAACGTCGTCGAAGACAACTCGGCGTTCTACCTACACGCTGGAAAGTACGCAGGCGTTGTCGCGAAGAAATTCGAACTAAAACCGACAACACTCACGACTCCCTACCGCTACGGGAACAACAACGACACCTCCGCAAAACTCCCTGCGAAGCAAATCCAGGAGTATCAGCAGAAGCTCGGCTGCCTACTATTTGCAGCAGTAACTTTCCGACCGGACCTATCTTACAGCGCGAGCCAACTGGCGACACATCTTAAGCAGCCGAAACAAGATGTCGAGGAACTAAATCGGGCACTACTCTACTTCGTCTCTACGCCGACGACCGGACTTACCTACAGTAAAGCAACGACATCGTCCGTACAACTACTCGGATACGTCGACGCCGACCATGCGGGAGACAGGATAAATCGACGCTCAAGGACGGGCTACATCTACCGACTAGAGCCTATCAGGACTATCTCCTGGCAATCAAGCAAACAGGAACTAATCGCACTATCTTCGGCTGAAGCAGAATATATCGCCCTCTGCACTGCGACCAAGGAAGGACTTTACTTGCGAGAGTTACTCGAGGAAGAAACGATTGCAACCCTGCCCCGCCTTCTCACTCTTGTGCGACAACCAATCTGCGATCAAAATCGCGAACAAAGACGGTTTCGCCAACCGAACCAAGCACATCGCCCTGCGGTACTTCTTTGTCAAAGATGAAATCACGAAGGGGAGACTTCAACTTAGTTACTGCCCCACGACAGAAATGGCTGCAGACTACCTGACGAAGAAACTGGCAAAAGCTAAGTTCGATTACTGCATGCTACTGACCGGGCAAATAAACGTTACCGAATCCGGGCACGGCAGCACTCCAGAAACGAAGGGGAGTGTTGGAAATATCTCGAGGACTTAAGCATTTCTGAAGTGTAACACCACACTTGAGGAAGATCGTAACGAGTACGCGAGTCAACGGAGGTTACACGAGGGAGTGGACAAAGAACATGAAAGGACTCGAAGGATCGCAACCGGAGGTTGCGACTGACCATTACAACTGCAAGGATGGTAACCGAAGCGACAATCGAGTCGCTGTGCGACTCGATAAACCGCTCTTTCAACTGTATTCTACAACTGCTTTACTTTCCTACTTTCTATATATTGCTGTATGCTTGTTCTCTTAATCAATCACTTGCTCTCACATACTAGTGCAAGGGTTCAACTACTCAACTTCCGCTACACTACTCAAGTATCTTGTACAACTGGGACTTAGCCTCTGAAAGATCCTAAGGGCTTATTATCAGCCCAACAAATATGTAACTTATAGACTAGATAGGTGCATACTCTTAGAGAGTACAACCCCTTAGCACAAAAGCACATTGTATCTCTCATTCTAGTCATCGATTCTCTCTTTCACATCATAGGCTTGGACTCGACAAGGGTTATGGCTCGAGTGTCACTTTCAGGAATGCAATAATTTCCTAATCGTAACACTGACTAAAGAACGAGAAAATGAATTTTGGACCAAAGCTACGATTTTGTGCAACTCAATGAATATCATGGTAGCCAAAGGATAACAGTGTCAAACATGTGTATTAGTTATGTTTGCATAGACTGTATAGGATCACCTCTTAGAGGGTACAATACTTAGGTATATCTATCTGTACTCTCCCACTAGTCATTATTCACTTCTCTCATTCTGATATGGTATCACGCGTAGGTTAGGATCCCCCATCTACCGCTTCCGCTTGTCACCTAGCTAGGCCCCGCCGCGCCTCCCCCCTGGGCCCCGTCGTGCCCCTCGCCTAGCCCCGTCGCGACCCCCTAGCCCCGTCGCGACCCCCTGGGCCCCGTCGCGACCCCCTAGCCCCGTCGCGATCCCCCTGGGCCTCGTCGTGCCCCTAGCCCTGCCGCGCCCCTCCTGGGCCCCGTCGCGACCCCCTAGCCCCGTCGCGACCCCCTGGACCCCGTCGCGACCCCTTAGCCCCGTCGCGACCCCCCTGGGCCTCGTCGTGCCTCTAGCCCTGCCGCGCCCCTCCTGGGCCCCGTCGCGACCCCCTAGCCCCGTCGTGACCCCCTGGGCCCCGTCGCGACCCCCTAGCCCCGTCGCGACCCCCCTGGGCCTCGTCGCGCCCCTAGCCCTGCCGCGCCCCTCCTGGGCCACGTCGCGACCCCCTAGCCCCGTCGCGACCCCCTGGGCCCCGTCGCAACCCCCTAGCCCCGTCGCGACCCCCCTGGGCCCCGTCGTGCCCCTAGCCCTGCCGCGCCCCTCCTGGGCCCCGTCGCGACCCCCAAGCCCCGTCGCGACCCTCTCGGGCCCCACTACGCCCCTCGCCCTGTAGCGCCCCTCCTGGGCCCCGTCACGCCTGCAGGCCCCGTCGCCCCCCCTGCCCGGCCCCGTCGCGCCCGCCCGGCCCCGTCGCACCCGCCCGGCCCTGTCGCACCCGCCCGGCCCCGTCGCACCTGCCTGCTCGGCCCCGTTGCGCCGTGCCCGGCCTCGTCGCGCCCGGCCGGCCCCGTCGCACCCGCCCGGCCCCGTCGCACCCGCCCGGCCCCTTTGCGCCCGGCCCGGCCCCGTTGCGCCCGCCCGGCCCCGTCGCACCCGGCCGGCCCCGTCGCACCCGCCCGGCCCCGTCGCACTCGCCCGGCCCCGTCCAAGGCCGCTCCCCATCTCTGTTCCATGCTGCTAGTCTCTGAGGGTGACCCAGACGCTTTCGACATCCCGACCCCTTGCACTTACGCTAAGGCGACCTCGGGACCCTGGGCCTCCCAGTGGATAGCTGCCATGGAGCAGGAGATGGCATCTTGGAGATCCACCGGCACCTTCGTCGACGCAGTTCCCCCGCCTGGGGTGAACGTAGTCGATGGCCGCTGGCTCTTCAAGGTGAAGCGCCTTCCTGGAGAGCCGCCTGTGTTAAAGGCGCGCTACGTGGCTAGAGGCTTCAGTCAGCGTGAAGGGGTGGACTTCTTCCAGACCTTCGCTCCGACCCCGAAGATGACTACTCTTCGGGTTCTGCTACACCTAGCTGCTCCGCGCGACTACGAGCTTCACTCCCTCGACTTCTCCACTGCCTTCCTTCAGGGCAGCCTACATGAGCAGGTCTACTTGCGTCGCCCTCAGGGCTTTACTGGCACCTTCCCTTCTGGGACCCATTGGCTCCTGCGGCGCCCCGTCTACGGCCTGCGCCAGGCTCCCCGTGAGTGGCACGACACTCTCCGTACTACGCTTGCTGACCTGCAGTTCTTTCCGTCTTCCGCAGACCCCTCACTCTTCGTTCGTGCTGGCCAGACTCCGTTCTACATCCTTGTTTACGTCGACGGCCTGGTCTTTGCCACAGCAGACAGGGACGCACTGGCCTCCGTGAAGGCAGAGCTGCTGAAGAGACACATGTGCACTGACCTTGGAGAACTGCGCCGTTACCTTGGCTTGCAGATCTCCAGGGACAGAGCAGCGCGCACCATCACCCTGACTCAGTCACACTTGGTGCGCCAGGTCCTTCAGAGGTTCAGCCTTCAGTTCTCCTCTGCACAGCCCACCCCTCTGCCTGTAGACCACAGACTCTCCGCTCCAGTGTCTGAGGAGTCGGTTGAGCCCAGCGGCCCCTACGCAAAGCTGGTGGGTTGCCTCATGTACCTGATGACTTGCACTCGCCCAGATCTCGCATACCCTCTCAGCATCCTGGCTCGCTTTGTGGCCACAGGCAGACACCGACCGCAGCACTGGTCTGCCGCTAAGAGGGTTTTGCGTTATCTTGCTAGTACATCGGGCATGGGGTTAGTGCTAGGAGGACGCAGGCCAGTGGTCCTTACTGGACACACCGACGCTTCGTGGGCAGACGACGCCGAGACACTCAGGTCTACCCAGGGCTACTGCTTCAGCCTTGGCTCAGGTGCCGTCTCGTGGAGAGCTACCCGCTCCTCGTCTGTTGCCCAGTCCAGCTGTGAGGCCGAGATCTACGCTGGTGCCATGGCGGCACAGTAGCTCCGCTGGCTAACCTTCTTGCTCACTGACTTAGGTGAGCGGCCTAGCTCTGCCCCGGTCCTGTTCGCTGACAACAGGGCCATGATCCTCCTGTGTCAGGAGCCTCGACTCGAGGGCAGAGCGAAGCATATTCAGCAGCGATACTTCCTCCTGCGCGAGCTACAGCAGCGACGCCAGCCTCGCGTAGTACACTTGGCCTCAGGTGCCAACACAGCTGATATCTTTACGAAGGCGCTTGCGCCTAAAGATCATCAGCGGCACTGCGTACAGCTTGGTCTAATCCCTGTAGCCTCTCACTTGCTAGGGCTTTGACTTTGTACTGCCCTTTATATGTATACTCAGACTGGACTTGTGTCCTCTCCCAGTAGCTGGACTAGTAGTGCCGCCCTGATCTTATTCTTGCCTTGTCTGTACTCCTTCTGACTGGTCTTTAAGACCCTTGTCTCAGAGGTTGGACTAGTAGTGCCGCCCTGAGCTGCTTGTTCGGGACATTCCCCTATGCAGTCTAGGGGGTGTGTCAAACATGTGTATTTGTTATGTTTGCATAGACTGTATAGGATCACCTCTTAGAGGGTACAATAGTTAGGTATATCTATCTGTACTCTCCCACTAGTCATTATTCACTTCTCTCATTCTGATAAACAGTTGAACAGGCATCTTAGTATATCGCAATACAACCGTGGGGACTCTTTTTTTTTCTTTGAACCATGACAACACTAAAAGAACATGAAGTATATTGTTTACGTGCTTTTTCCCTAATTCTGGTAGCAAGATTTCCATTGCCGAGTACACAAATTCGAGTTGCCGCGCTGGAACCCCTTACAATGTGCGGGCTCGAAATTACAAGAGTTCGAACTCGAGCCCAGGTTCCAAATTGCAAGCCGCAAAAAGTGTGCATTTCCGCTGGGGCTCAATCGGTTACAGCATTCGCAAGCCAGGTCTGACGCGATCCGTTTTTGTTGTTAACAAAAACACTCGCTCCTTGCAACTTGGGACCTGGGCTTTAAAAAGGGTACGCTGTGTTGCAGTTGCATACTCGCGGTTTCGGCGAGTATAAAATCGGTTGCAGTTGCATACAATTTCTAGCCCAGCTCTGCCACGCCCTCTACCAGTTCAGAGACTCTTCTCTTCAGTTCTTTGCGATCCTCCTCTCCCTCCGCAATTGTCCTGAGAACAGCTGTTTCGCCTCTTGCGTTTGTTCACGCGGCACCCTGGCCAACAGCCGTTTCCCTTACTCTCCCTCTCATATCACGTTCGCGTGCGCCGTCAACCGTCGGCTCCTCTTAACCCCCATCGCGTCACTGGTGGTGCGGCACCGCGCTAACGGCGACGTAATTCAGCGGATGGACGCGTTGGTGCTGTCGTTTGCGGCGGGCTTCTGCGGGCAGGCGGCGGCCGTGGTGGTGCGGCTGCGACCCACGCTGGTGTTCCTGGAGCGACTGCTGCTTGCGCTGCTCGAGCCCCAGATAGGCCGCCGGAATACGCGCGTGCTGCTAGCGCTGGACCTGTGACACGGAGAGGGGGATGAGGAGGGGAAGGGGTGCGCGGGGAGCGAAGAGGCGATGAAAAGTCTGCGTGTAGGAATGTTATTCTTTACCCTGTACAGATTAGGTGTGAGAATTGCTGTGAATATATCACTCTACAGCTGTTTATTGGCATACTGCACCCTTCTGCCAGCATGGGTTGGTGCAAGGTAGGGATGAGCAAAACCGGTTTTGCCATACCCAACCGGGTATTTTCGGGTCAGGTCCGGGTCGGGTAATTCTTAAAGAGAGAGACTATAATAGTGACCCCCCTGTCAACTTATACATATTATCTACGTAGAAGTTATAGGCTAGACCGAGGTATGCTTCTAGTGAGTACAACCAACTAGTATTTGTTCTAGGTTTCCACTTCTAGTAATCATTCGTTCTCACATTGACATGGTATCACGCGTAGGTTAGCATCCCCCCACCTACCGCTTCCGCCCGTACCCTAGCTAGGCCACGTCGCGCCTCCTAGCCCCGTCGCGCCTCCTAGCCACGTCGCCCCCCTCCTTGGCCACGTCGCGCCACCCTAGCCCCGTCGCGCCACCCTAGCTCTGTCGCGCCCCCCCTGGGCCCCGTCGCGCCTGCTAGCCCCGTCGCGCCCCTCCTGGGCCCTATCGCGCCACCCTAGCCCCGTCGCGCCACCCTAGCCCTGTCGCGCCCCTCCTGGGCCCCGTCGCGCCTCCTAGCCCCGTCGCGCCCCTCCTGGGCCCCGTCGCGCCAAACTAGCCCCGTCGCGCCACCCTAGCCCCGTCGCGCCCTGCCTAGCCTCGTCGCGCCCGCTCGGCCTCGTCGCGCCCTGCCTGGCTCCGCCGCGCCCGCCTGGCCCCGTCGCGCTCTCACTCGGGTGACCTCACTCTCACTGCCTTTGTCGACACCCTCACCGAGATCGAAACTCGCAAGCGCACTATCGCTCAGTCGCGCGGTGCGCCGGCAGTTTCTATCTTTCACGGTTGTGCCCCCTCCCAGTGTGCGTTCACTGACGTTTCGGCTGCGGTCGCCTCGACGGCCCCTCTCACTGAGACGGCTGGTGCGGTCCACCCGCAGCAGCGCTCGCGCCGCGGTGGCCGTGGTCGCCAGGGGGGTAGGGGTGGTGGTGGCAGTAGTGGTGGTGACGGTAGTCCGCTTGTGGGGACTACCGCTGGTGGGCAGGAGCAGCAGCCCCAGCCGCAGCAGGAGCAGCCCCAGCCGCAGCCGCCGCCCCAGCAGCAGTCACCGTCACAGCAACAGTCGCCGCAGCAGTGGGCCCGTCTCCCGCCTGGTTGGCCCGGCACCTCTGGAGGTAGTGGCCGTGGTGGCGGCCCACGCAGCTTGGCGTCTACCGGCGGCTCCGGTGCTATCACCTGCCCGTACCAGCTTCAGACCGGGCCTCTTCGCGGCACTCTGTGCCGCCGCCCGCACCCGACCGCCCGCTGTTTCCGCCGCCTCGACGATCTCTTTCGTCGTCGCTTTGGCCCGGCCCCGGACCTCCCCGACTGGCACAGCCTGCTCCGCCAGGGCGTGCCGATCTTTGAGTTAGACATGGATCAGCTAGGTGCTGCTTTGCATGCTTTGTATTATGACGCTTCTAGTTTTACTGGATCTTATTACCCTGTGTACTCTAGTTTAGGTGTTGCACCACTGTGTAGCTTAGCCTCCCCTGCTGCGTCAGGCGTAGGACTGCCTAGGTTGCCTAGTCTAGTCGCTGCACCGGCTCCGTCCCCGGCCTCCGCCACTGCGTCGCTGTCCTTCACTCTCGACTCCGGTGCTTCTGCCTGCTTCTTCCGCGACCGTTCCACGCTCACGCCGCTTGCTGCACCTGCTGTTGTCTCTCTCGCTGACCCCTCTGCGGGTCCTGTCGTCGCGCGCAGTTCTACGTCCCTTCCCTGTCCGGCAGTTCCCTCGGGCTCCCTTACTGGCCTCCACGTTCCCTCGTTCTCCAGGAACCTGGTTGGTGTCGGCTGTCTCCAGGACCTCGGCGTCACCACCACGTTCCCCGTGCACGAGCGGTTCGCTGTCTGTTCTGAGGCTGTCTCCGGTTCCCCCCTTGCGACGTTCCCCCGGGACCCGGTGTCCGGTCTGTTTACCCTAGACACCGCTTCCCCCCCAGTTGGTGCATCCTCCCAGGTCGCTGCAGCTTGCGCGTGTCGGTCCCTCACTCACCCCTCCCTTCTCTGGCACCACCGCTTAGGTCACCCTGCTCTCCCACGTCTGCGTCACATGTCCCAGCACGGTCTTGTCTTGGGTCTCCCCGCGTCGCTCCCTGCCCTTCCTCCCTCGACTGCGCCACCGTGCACGCCTTGCGTCGAGGGTCGGCTCCGCCGTGCTCCTCACTCCTCCTCGCTGCGTCCTGCTACTGCCCCCCTTCAGACCCTGCACCTGGACGTTTGGGGCCCTGCCCCCGTCCCCGGACCGCGCGGTGAGCGCTACTTCCTTGTGCTCGTCGACGACTACACGCGCTACACCACGGTGTTTCCCCTGGAGCGGAAGGCCGGCGTGCCCGACGTTCTTCTCCCGTGGGTTGTGGCTGCGCGTCTCCACCGCGGTCTCCCCGTGTTGTGTCTCCACTCCGACCGTGGCGGCGAGTTCGCCTCTGGTCGGCTTGGACAGTTCTGTCGTGCGGAGGGCATCACCCAGTCGTACACGTTGCCGGACTCGCCACAGCAAAATGGGGTTGCTGAGCGCCGCATCGGCTTGGTCATGGAGGTCGCCCGTACCTCCATGATCCATGCCGATGCCCCCCATTTTCTGTGGCCGTTCGCTGTTCGCTACGCTGCTCACCAGCTTAACCTGTGGCCACGCTCCCAGCGGCCGCAGGTTTCGCCGACCCTCCTTTGGACCGGGTCCCCCGGTGACGCGTCTGCGTTCCACGTCTGGGGCTGCCTTGCTCACGTTCGTGCCTCTGGCACGGACAAGCTCACTGCCCGCACTCTCCCCTGTGTCTTCCTCGGTTTCCCCCTGGACTCGTCTGACTGGCTTTTCTACCACCCGCCGTCTCACCACTTCCTCCACTCTCGTGACATCACCTTTGACGAGTCCGTCTCCTTCTACCGCCGCTTCCCTCACCGAGGTCTCCCAGTTGCCCCCCCCCTGTTCCTTGCTCCCTCTCCCCCGGTAGCCCCTGCCCCTCTCCCGCCTCGTCCTGCCCCGTCTGGTGTCTCTCACGTCACTCCCCTCCCGTCGGTTGTCCCCGTTGAGGAGTCTGCTGACTCTGGTGGTACCCCTGGTCCGTCCTTGCCGCGTCCCCCTTCCCCGGTGCCTCCGCCCCCACTGTCGCAGTCGCCGACCCCGCTGCCGCCGCCGTCGCCGTCGCTGCCGCAGCCGTCGCCGCTGTCGTCGCCGCCGCAGCCGTCGCCGCCACTGCCGCCGCCGCTCTTGGCCCCTGGGGGTGCTGGTGTAGAGGAGGGTGTTCGTCCTGCGGCTTCTGGGGGTGCCGCTGGTGTTGGAGGGGGTTCTCGCTCTGGGGGTGTTAGTTCTGGGGGTGGTGCTGTTGAGTGTTCTGCCGACGGTCGTTCCGCCTCTGCTGGTCCGAGAGTTCCGGCCCAGCCGTCGTCGCCGCCACAGCAGCCGTCGCCGCCGGTCTCCGCTCTCCGCCTGCTCGGCCTTCCCTCCCCGGACCGCGCGCCGGTGTCTCCCCCACCGCCTGCTGAGCTTCCTGTCTACGGTCCTGTGTTCCCGCCGCCGGACTCGTCTCCGGCCCGTCTTCCTTCTCGTTCCCCTCCTGTGTCTCCTCCGCTGTCCCCTGACCCTACACCTCCGTCTCACGTTTGGGCTCGCCGTCCCTCCCGTGCTCGTCCCGTCTCTCCTGTCCTGCCCACCCACCCTATGTTGCTCCGTTCCCGCTCGTCTCGTCCTCCCCTCCTCCCATCCCCTCCTCCCTCGTCCCTTGCTGTTGCACCTCCTCCGTTCTCTGACTACCTCCGTGCAGCTCGTCCCCTTGTCCCTCGGGTCCTTGCCTCTCTTGTTACCGACCCTGCTGTTCCTGTCTCGCGCCTTGACGCGCTTGTCGCTGCTGTCGCTGCCTTCGCCTCTACCCGCCGCCTTGACTACGCTACCGCTCTGGTCTCTGACCCTGCCCGTCCTCCGTCCGTCGGGGGTGCTCCTGCCCTTGGCAGTGACGTCCTAGAGGACAGGCAGTACGAGCAAGCTTTCCTTTCCGAGGCTGCTCCCCATCTCTGCTCCATGCTGTTAGTCCCTGAGGGTGACCCAGACGCCTTCGACATCCCGACCCCATCTCTGCTCCCCATCACCTACGCTGAGGCAACCTCGGGACCTTGGGCCTCTCAGTGGATAGCTGCCATGGAGCAGGAGATGGCATCTTGGAGGTCCACCGGCACTTACGTCGACGCAGTTCCCCCGCCTGGGGTGAACGTAGTCGATGGTCGGTGGCTCTTCAAGGTGAAGCGCCCCCCTGGAGAGCCGCCTGTCTTCAAGGCGCGCTACGTGGCCAGAGGTTTCAGTCAGCGCGAGGGGGTTGACTTCTTCCAGACCTTCGCCCCGACCCCGAAGATGACCACTCTTCGGGCGCTGCTACACATAGCAGCACAGCGTGACTACGAGCTTCACTCCCTCGACTTCTCTACTGCCTTTCTTCAGGGCAGCCTACACGAGCAGGTCTACCTGCGCCGACCACAGGGCTTCACTGGTACCTTCCCTCCTGGGACCCAGTGGCTTCTCAGGCGCCCGGTCTACGGCCTGCGTCAGGCTCCCCGCGAGTGGCACGACACGCTACGTGCCACGTTAGCAGACCTGCAGTTCTTTCCCTCCACTGCTGACCCTTCACTGTTTGTGCGTTCCGGCCAGACTCTGTTCTACATCCTTGTCTACGTAGACGACCTGGTCTTCGCTACTCCTGACAGGGACGCACTGGCCTCTGTGAAGGCTGAGCTGCTGAAGAGACACACCTGCACTGACCTTGGAGAGCTGCGTCGCTATCTTGGCCTGCAGATCTCTAGGGACAGAGCAGCACGCACCATCACTCTGACCCAGTCACACTTGGTGCGTCAGGTCCTTCAGAGGTTCGGTCTTTAGTTCTCCTCCGCACAGCCCACACCTCTACCCGTAGACCATGGGCTCTCTGCTTCCGTTCCTGAGGAGCCAGTAGAGCCCAGTGGCCCCTACGCAGAGCTGGTGGGTTGCCTCATGTACCTGATGACTTACACTCGCCCAGATCTCGCATACCCTCTCAGCATCCTGGCTCGCTTTGTGGCTACAGGCAGACACCGACCTCAGCACTGGTCTGCCGCTAAGAGGGTTTTGCGTTATCTTGCTAGTACATCAGGCATGGGGTT